AAAAAAAAAAAGAGAATGACAAAGTGAGACTCTGTCTCTAAAAATAAATAAATAAATAGTTTATATCCTTTAAAGAAACACTGAAATATTAAGAAATTAATTGATCTGATAACCGGGATGTACGTCACCTAATTCAGACAAGAAAGGGGAGAAGTTGCAGCTAGGGAGGAATTGCAGCTGAAGAGATTGGTCATGAGTTGATAATTGAGGAATAGACAAGTGTTCATTTTACTATTTGCTCTACTGTTCTACAGTGGGAATTCTCCATGATAAAATGTTTTAATAACACTTTTCTGGCTCAGCGCCCATAGCACAGTGGTTATGGCGCCACCCACATACACTGATGGTGGCAGATTCAAACCCGACCCAGGCCAACTAGATAACTGCAAGAAAAAAACAGCTGGACATTGTGGCAGGCACCTGTAATCTCAGCTACTTGGGAGGCTGAGGCAAGAGAATCTCTTAAGCCCAACAGTTGGAGGTTGCTGTGAGCTGTGATGCTACAGCACTCTACAGAGGGCTACATAGTGAGACTGTCTCCAAAAAAACAAAACACTTTTCTCAGGTGGGGTGCGGTGACTCACACCTGTAATCCTGGCACTCTGGGAGACTGAATTGGGTGGATTGCCTGAGCTCAGGAGTTGGAGAACAGATTAAGCAAGAGCAGGAACCCATCTCTAAAAATCGCTGGGTGGGTGCTGTTTTGGATACCCGTAGTCTCAGCTAATTGGGAGCCTGAGGCAAGAGAATCACTTGAGCCTCTGCACCTGTGGCTCAAGCGGCTAAGGTGCCAGCCACATACACCTGAGCTGGTGGGTTCGAATCCAGCCTGGGCCTGCCAAAACAACGACGACAGCTGCAAACAAAAAATAGCTGGGCATTGTGGCAGGCACCTGTAGTCCCAGGTTCTTGGGAGGCTGAGGCAGGAGAATTGCTTGAGCCTAGGAGTTGGAGGTTGCTGTGAGCTGTGATGCTACAGCACTCTACCCAGGGTGACAGCTTGAGGCTCTGTCTCAAAAAAAAAAAAAAAGAGAATCACTTGAGCCCAAAAGTTTGAGGTTGCTGTGAGTTATGATGCAACAGTACTCTACTAAGGGGGACAAAGTTAAGAGTCTAAAACAAACAAAACAAAATACACTTTTCCCCAAATTGGGATAATGTAGAATTTGCTGCTATGTAGAATAAATGCATTTATGAGGCATTCAGTGAGAAATACTATATGTGGGCTCAGCGCCTGTGGGTCAAGTGGCTAAGGCACCAGCCACATACACCTAAGGTGGCGGGTTTGAATCCAGCCTGGGCCCGCCAAACAACAATGGCTGCAACCAAAAAATAGCTGGGCTTTGTGGCAGGCGCCTATGGTCCCAGCTACTTGGGAGGCTGAGGCAGGAGACTCGCTTGAGCCCAGGAGTTGGAGGTTGCTGTGAGCTGTGATGCTATGGCACTCTACCCAGGGTGACAGCTTGAGGCGGTCTCAAAAAAAAAAAATACTATATGTGAAGCACATACTCAGATTGATGTGCATTCTGGCTTTGGGGTTCATCTCCCTGCCATTCTTAAAGATAAGGTCTTGTCCTCCCAACTAAGTCAGGACCCCAGGATACCTCTTCCTGTGTCTGGTAGGTTCTTTCATGACCCTTGTCACAGCCATCATTTCACCCTGGTTGATCACTTTTGTTAACATCCAATGCCTTCACAGAGTGACTTGCTCAAAGGCTGAAACTGTGTTGCCTAAGATAAAAGGTAGAATGAATGGCTTAAGCCCAGAAGAGCCATACTTATAAGATTTAGGAAAAGGTCCTTCTGTGGTAATAGCCTGCAAGGACAGACATGGCCATCACTTCACTGCATGATGGACTTCACATGTGGCTTTACAAACTCTTGAGTCATTTTGGGTTTTGTTATATTTAGCCTGTATCGCTAGATGGAGGCCAGTGGAGTGATCATAGCTCACAGCAACCTCAAACTCCTAGGTTCAAGTGACCCAACTGCCTCAGCCTTCCAAGAAGCTAGATCACCCAGCTACTTTTTTTTTTTCTTTTTTGGGTATTGACAGGTTCTCACTGTGTTGTTCAGGCTGGTCCCGAACTCCTGGCTTCAAATGATCCTCCCACCTTGACCTACTTAAGTATTGGGATTATAGGTTTAAGCCACTATGCCTGACTCATCATATATAAAATTATATATTACTTACATATTAATATATATATATATATATAATTTTGAGAGTCTCATTTTGTAGCCTTCGGTAGAGTGCTGTGGTGTCACAACTCACAGCCTCAAACTCTTTGGCTTGAGATTCTTGCATCAGCCTCCCAAGTAGCTAGGACTACAGGTGCCCACCACAAAACCCGGCTATTTTTAGAGATAAGGTCTTGCTCTGGCTCAGGCTGGTCTGGAACCAGTGAGCTCAGGTAATCCACCTTCCTCGGCCTCCCAGAGTGCTAGGATTACAGACATGAGACACTGAGCCTGGTCTTACCTTTATATTTTCAAAAATGATTTATAAAAAGTTGAAAGAAGCACCTTTGGGTCAGTTCTCTTCTCACAATCTACCCTCTCTACTTCCTAAGTCTTGGATATACCCACCCACAGCTCCAGATGTATGGAAGTGGGGTTAAGGTCTTTTGTCACCAGGTGAGATGGGTGTCAATCCCACAGGATCAGAAAAGCCAAGTGTGCAGTCCACTTGTGGGTGTGCAACACCCTCCCAGGCAGGAGCATAGTGAAGAGCCCAGGAAAACAGGTGGGGGTAGAGAAGGCCCCTGCTGTTCACACCCCATGAAGTCATTCCCACTTTCTAGCACTTAGCCACTTAGTAGGAATGGAAAGAGCTGAAAAACC